TCCGCCATCTCAACAAATTTTGTGCGAATTGCGAGGAAGCTACAGTTTGAAAAAGCCTCTAAGAACCGCTGCTATATAATCCCTGTGTGCCTGTGAATCAGATTACACTAGAAACATACAAAGTTTGATTGACAACCTTACAGCCAATAGATAAAGAGGGAGCCTCGTTATCTATTGGCTGATGTTTGTCTGGACTCACTACGTCCACAGTTGATAGATTTTCATTCTTTCTTTTTTTTTTTTGGTCATCATAATAACAAGGCTGCTGCGTCTCTGTAATGGTATTTTAAACTTTCATTGTGGGTCCGGTCAAGTGGTAACGGAGGGAAACAGGGGCAGATTTTTGACATTCAAATGTCTCTTATTCAGAAACTAGAGGAACTATTGAAATAAGTAAAGTATCAGAATGTAGGAAAGAGTTACACTCCAACAGGGTCAAGTTAAACCTGTGAGATTATTTCAAGTTGTTGACAAAAAATTTTAAAACTCATGTTGGTAACGGAGGGAATGAAATATGCAGCACTTTTTGGTCAATAAATCCAAACAGTGATAACTCTTGGTTCTCACTTCCATATCCTTAACAAACTGGTTTGAATATTTGCTTCATATAGTTTTCTACCATATGGTACAAGATTAGGTTGAAAAACCTCTTACTTTTTGAGTCATGAGATTTTTTATTAAGAAAGGTCATGGTAACGGAGGGAAAAGTAACAGAGGGAAAATTGTACAAACAAGTAGAAGGTGCAGGATTTTACATCATTTGTAGCTTTTTTCTTCTGAATACTTTAATATTACTTCAAAATGAAAGGAAACTATTTCTATAAAATATGTCAGTCCTTCCAAGTAAATTTTTATCATTTTAAATACTTTTTTTTTTTTTAATCATGTATCTTCATCAACAGTTCAAAGATGGAATAACACAAGATATGATGAAATTCATCCATTTATTTACATGATTTGCAGGTCTTTGAAATTTGGGAAATAATCTGTTTAAAACCTATGGAACTTTAGAACCAAAAATGGTCCAGAAAAAAGGTCAACAGTTTGATAAACTAGAGTACATATGTATCTGTTCAATACACTTTTATATCAGATGAATTAACTTGAATTTTTGGCCTTGTTGTTTACTTCTGCTTGACTGGACCCATTTACAATTTGAAATAAAAAATAAAATAAAAATCCTCCATACAACTTTTAATCTTATTCTGCCTGTATTTCACTGCGTGCTCTTCTATGCCTCGTTTGACCATCTCTTCATGTAACGCTGTAGGAGTGGTTAGATGTTAGATGTTAGATGTGTTATGCATTGGGGATGGACAAGATCTCACAGCACAGGATCTCAGAAGATAAAATGACCAGGCTTTGCACATATGAGGAGAATTTCCCCAGAGTGTGGACGTGAGTGCAGGAAACAGCCACTGAATAACGAACAATGAAGATACATGCACAAATACATTACACAACCTGCAGTAAATGTAGATCACAGATGTTTATGTTCTTCTAATTCTGACCTGGTTTGGTGGATAGTACCTGTGGGGAATATTTATCACAGTTAAACGAACACTGTAGAGGATCTGCTACCTGTTTGTCTCCATGGAAATGTTTTTGCTTTGTCTGAAATGTTCCGTGGTATGACATTAAACATGTCCATCTCACATCTATTCATCACAGGTGTTTCTGTTGTTCAAAAATACAATCATTCTATCTCTCTCCACAGATCTGAACTGTAGTGTAGCGTAGAGCTGGAACCTGCGCGTCTCCCTCGTGATAGATCGGTTTAATCTATATGTTACGGACCCCAAGCAGCGGGTCTGCCTCAGCAAGTGACGTTCAATCTGAAAGGTAGAATAATTGGTAAGAGGAAAGAAGACACGGAGCAGTGCCTTTCACGTCCAGATTGCTTTAGGGGCAAATAAGAAGTTCTGCCATAAAACCCGACCTGCAGCAACATCTTCAGGACCCCCTGGTATAGAGCATCAAGTTTATCTCGTAGTATCAAATTTGAGTGTGATAAAATTGTAAAGAAAGTAAAAAATCCGGGGAAATACTGGGACACTGCAGGCGACTCACACATTTATGACTGATACTAACTTTGAATACGACCGTACACAGGCAACATAATAACTTTCTCTCTTGTATAAGCAGTTTCTGAGGTGGTGTTGGTGAAATGAGTTGCTTTGAGTCAATGTTTTACCAACCTGCATTAGTCTTTTATCACCTTTACCTCTCATTGGCCATTCTGTGTGTGTAATCTGAAACTCAGACATCACTAAGTGCCAGTGAAGACCCAAAGCTGGTTTAAATGAATCCATAGTTTTCTGTAGGTTTAGTATACAACCCAGGAGACCGCCGTGTTTACTGCACGTGCATCTTTTATGAGTTGTGCTGGTGCTGTACAAGGCTGCTTTAATCCTGTGTTTGAGAGTCCCAGTGAGACGTACAGAGCTGTGACCTTACCTCAAGTACACTACAAGTACACAGGTGTTCTCTTCTGTTCTGGGACTCCCAATGGTCAGAGATGAAGAATGAGGAGCTTAAAGACGAGTATTTTATTTCTATGGGGTATTAACTACATATAAAACATAACATATTTAGATCACTGTCACTTTTTATTATTGTACAAATGTTATATTCACCAAAAGCAACATATTAACATGTTTTATACGCTTGAAAAGTGCAAATTTCGTCTCACCTCCCTTTGCTCTCTGTGCTAAGTCCCCTTCAGAGCTCTGTCACAACACACTCAGTGTGTGTTCCACTAATGAAAGTACTGCACATCACACCAGGTTTGTGTAGCTGGTCAGTACAGTTTATATCATGTTTTTGTGTATTATTGGAGTATTGTTGTGTGGAGCATGGCTGATGTAGACTTGTGTGTGGAGCATTGGACAAGTCTGAGTGAAACTTAAGTGTGTCAGTTCATGTGAGGATCAGCTGTGCTCTGGTTCATTTGCATGTGTTTGTTTTGAGATTTATTTGAACATGGATCAGTGTTGATGCTGCTTTAGTTTAAGTGTTTAAGTGTCCAGCAGCTTGTGGCTCAGGCCTACATCCCACCACTGGGTGTGTTTTATAGACCTGTGTGATGCGCAAAGTTTCCTGAGCCCATTGTCATGGAAATGCTCCTAACGTGGGGATGACACCCTCTTAACTGGCCCAAGTGAACCATGCCAGTGGACACAAGACTCTGTACTGCTGCTAACTACTACAACTGTATGAGGCCTGTGCTCTAGTATAATCAGCTGAACCTGGATTGTCGGTGTCTTTACCCAGTGGATCTCAAACTTTTTCCATCACATCCCCATAATAACAACCACATTCATTCAGGACACCAAGGCTCCTCAATACAATCATTTTTTGTAACAAGAGTTTACATTCCACAATATCTGAAGGGGGCAAGTCCCATGTAACTCTATTGCAGAAATATACATGTTTTTGCCCATATCATCTGGGAACTCCCTGAAAACATTCCTCATGGGTCTCGACCTCCAGGGTGAGAAGCACTGCCTTAACCTGCAGATGGAGAACACAGAGCAGGGCTGCACTACACCTGAGTCATGTTTGTCTGCAGGTGCTGGATTTATGGAGTGTTTCCTTTTCCCCTTGTTATGCAGTCTGGGTGCAGACACAGCACAGGTTTCAGTCTATAACAAGCCCTGGTTAATTTGTTTTAACAAATGTATATTTGAATGTCATCTGGGAGAGTGTTTGAGAGCTGGATTGAGATCTGAGCTGGCTTTGTGTTGTAAAATATCACTCTTTGGAGTGGCCTGAAGAATTGAAAAATACACCTAACACATTGTACCTGCAATAATGTCACTTATTAACATTTATTGATGGAAATGACTTTCTCTCCACACGTCATTCCTGTCCTCTTCTATCCTCTTACATCAATAAATAAACACCTCACACATCCTCACACACATTTTGCACGTGCTCCAGTGTGTCAGAGATGTCCTCACACACACTCCACACAGAGGACACGGCTCTTATCGTAGTGAGATGAGAGGTTAGATTAGATGAGGCCGTGCACGCGGCTCATCTCATCAGGAGGATCTAGCAGCAGCAGTGATGGGCCTGTCTCTGCTCTGATGGGCTCATGTGGAGACGAGCATTTCCTCAACAACTGGGATTCGGAGCAATAATTATTCATGGAGTGGTGAATAAATGAGACAGATTCTTGAAGCGTACATGCGTCATTCCTTTTCTATAAATTACAACTATCTATAAATTCTTCTAACAACTGAAAATTACATTCAAATGTCACATATGACTTGGAGGACCACAAGGATACACAGTGTAAACTTGTTCTATTGTACTGGTTTGTAGTACGGTTGTCAAAAGTGTTGATACTAATTGACACTAAAACTAGTATTGAAACTAGATACTCATTTGAGCAGGTATCAAGGCTAAAAGCCATCACAAAATACAGCAGAATGTTTGGTGGAACAAAGAGAATGTTTGGTGAATTTTATCAAGGGGAAAGACGTTATTGTCCTTCTTCCTACGGGATTTGGGAAAAGCTTAATATACCAGTTAGTCCTGTTAGCGCCGCATTACATACGTTATAAACAGCAGCGATTGCTTAATGATAAAAAGTACCTGCCTACTGTTGAGCAAACGAAATCTAACACTGTGAGGTCAGACAGTTTCTACAAAGTGAAACCGGCTGATGAATCAGGCTGTGTAGAAACTAAGTAAATGTAGACGATAAACAATTATACTGAATCTAATTTATGTCACTGATGCAAAACAAAAATGTATTCTAAATGTACAGTATAGTTTAAAAAAGTGCTGCAATAATAAAAAAAAATTAAAAAAGTTCATAATTGAAACTTCTAATCTAGTCATAAAGCCAAAAAATAAAAAACCCTGTGGTGCAAGAAAAGGTTCACATAAAAATATTGACCTCTCCACCCTGAAAGTTGTTATGTTGTAATCACGGTGACTTGTGACTGACATGTTGTTACTGTTGTTGTTGTTGTTGTTGTGTTTTGTAGGACGTGTGCAGTACTCTGTGGTGCAGTGTGGGACACACCTGTCACTCCAAACTGGACGGAGCAGTGGACGGGACGAGCTGTGGACAGGACAAGGTGAGTGCAGCGTCAGAGGCTCAGGGACGTGAGCACACACATGTACTGAGACACTGAGACACACACACCTACACACAATGATCATAATAATACTGAGGATTCATGTTGGACTCGTGGTGAGGACGAGGATGACTTTATTAACTGTGATGTACAGGAGAGGAGGGGCCTATTGTGTTCACGTTCTAGCATTTGATGATGTCATGATCTCAGAAGATGAGAAAGGGCATATATAATTCTCCAGGAGATTATGTCCAGTATCTAAATTAGAAATCCACAAACTCTGAGCCTTATCATTTGTTTGTGATTGGCTCCACACATTAGTGATAATAATGTCAGTTTAAAGCTGAATAATGAGACCACTTTCTGAAGCTATTGTGAACAAAATCATTTCACTTTTATGTATTTATTGGGTGGGACTTGATTAAAGGCATGCATGTAATTAATTACAGGCTTTGTAATTAATGAATCTCAATTAACTGCATAACAATATAAAAAAGGTTTCACAAGAAGTGCTTCCTGGACCTCCAGAGGATAATACACTGTAGATCAAACCCAGTGGTGCTCTTTGGGAAGGGAAGTCAGTAAAAAGATGCAAAAAACCCAAGGCACTCACTGGTTAAAATAAAATGCCTTTATTAATTTATGGCATGTCTTAATGGACAACTTACAAAGTCCCGACATGTTTCAGCCTCTGGCTTTCCTCAGGGGACAAACGAGAGAAGAACTCAGCCTGGTTTGTCCCCTGAGGAAAGCCATAGGCTGAAACGCATCGAGACTTTGTAATTTCTCCATTAAGACATGCCGTAAATTAATAAAGGCATTTTATTTTAACCAGTGAGTGCCTTGGGTTTTTTGCATCTTTTTAACTGCATAACAATATTTGCCTTACTCATTTTCTCCCTGAAGCCCATCATTTGTTGGAGTTTGGGCGGCCAGCACCTCTTGTTTGTACTCGGACCAGAACTGCTCCTGTCAAAACGCCTTTGTCAGTACTTCTATCACGTCATTTTGTGAATAGGCTTTCATGCTCTACTGTTATAGTCTGGAGTGTGTGCGTCAGTATAATTGTCATACCACAACATGGTGCACTGACAAACGCTCCGCGTTGTTTGGCAAACTGTGATAAAATAAGTGAATATTTTGTATTCATTATTTTCTTTGTAATGTAATTAATTAATCGTAATTAACGCAATAATGTCCCACCTCTAGTATTTATATGTTGAACTTTGTTCCAGTTTTTGTTTTTTATGGATAGGCCCAGTACTTACAGAAATATGAACCAATCAAGATCAAAAACTCTGCAATCTGACAGTTACACAGCAGCTCCACCTGAGAACTGTGAGCTGTCCTCCCTCTCAGGTTTAACAGTGTTTTGACATTTTCATATCATATTTTTAGTGTTTAGAGTAAATCCTGAAGGAAACCTTTGGCGCAGTAATTCCAGGAGCTTCTGTGAGGCTGAAGCACTAATTGCTTTCCCAAGAATGTGACTGTGAGCACTGCTGCTCTGATGAAGGAGGCTTCACATCAGGCAGAGGGACTAATTATGATGAGCTCTGGAGAGGGACATGGCCTATATGTACCTCACTTCAACATGGTGCATTAAACCAAACATGACTCAAGTATTTTTAGATGACAAACTGTAAAGAACAATATTACACTATTTTGGATCGATGTTATAATGTTTTCCTCATCAAAAACATTCTCTGACTTTTGTTTTGTTTCATTCACCAACCCTGTAAGTATTCAGGATGTGTTCTTCTCTCAAACAGAAACACTCTGTTCCACCTTGTGATGTCATGTGGTAATACAGGAAGTGCTCCACTGTGTTTTTAAACTCCACACACTTTCACTAGAATCACTTGGATCATTTCAGCCACGGATTGCCAGGTATTATTCTCTACTGAACTAAAGGTAAAAGGAGCTGTTCACTTGAAAATTACCACTTCATGACATCACAGTGTGGAACAGAGCATTTTTAAATTTTTGATAATAAATTATGTATATTTGGGCGACAGTAGCTCAGATGGTCGAGTGTTTGTCCTCTGATCTGAATTTTGGTGGTTTGAATCCCACTCTCGACATAAACATCATAGCTGAGTGGTCAAATTTATACTGCCATTGTGTCCATGGGCAGGACACTTAACCCACCTCGCCCCCAGTGTCCGTGTACACTGGTGTATGCATGGGTGAGTGGTTCTTGATGTAAAATGCCTTGAAGGTGGAAAAGTGATAGAAATGTGACCAGTGTGTGAATGAAACAAAATACAAGTCCAGGTTTGTTTTTGAGCATTTCGTTAAATCAATCTTTTAACAGTGAAAGTGCTCGTTGTGTTGTCTCCAGTGGTGCGTGAGTGGACGGTGTGTTTCTGTGGGGCAGTACCCTGAGAGTGTGGACGGAGGCTGGGCTTCATGGAGCGAATGGTCGTCCTGCACCAGGACATGTGGCTCTGGAGTGCAGAGCGCCCACAGGGACTGCACAAGCCCACTGTAAGTCACACCAGCTTATTACATTTATACTACTACTACTACTACTACTACTACTACTACTACTACTACTACTGTACTTTACATACACATGCAGCCCTCACAGTATAATCACATTTGTGTTGGTGCAGTCCTAGGCACAGGGGGCGCTACTGTCTGGGCGAGCGCCGCAGGTACCGTGTGTGTAACCCCGCCCCCTGTACAGAGGACACGCCCACTTTCAGAGACCAGCAGTGCAGCCACTTCAACAGCCTGCCCTACAAAGGACACCTGTACAGCTGGGTGGCAGTCTACAACAGAGGTAACATGTGTCCTGTCAGCACCTGTCAGCACCTGTCACCACCTGTCACCACCTCTCCCTGTGGCTCTCCTGTCAGCACCTGTCAGCATCTGTCTCTATGTGTGAACTGTGTCTCTCCTCAGTCAAACCTTGGCTGCACCTGTCTGTGTGTTTCTGTTCAGTCACCACCTGTCTGTCACTCCTGTCTGCACCTGTCTGTGTCTCTCCTGTCTGCACCTGTCTGTGTCTCTCCTGTCTGCACCTGTCTGTGTCTCTCCTGTCTGCACCTGTCTGTGTCTCTCCTGTCTGCACCTGTCTGTCACTCCTGTCTGCACCTGTCTGTGTCTCTCCTGTCTGCACCTGTCTGTGTCTCTCCTGTCTGCACCTGTCTGTGTCTCTCCTGTCTGCACCTGTCTGTGTCTCTCCTGTCTGCACCTGTCTGTCTCTCCTGTCTGCACCTGTCTGTGTCTCTCCTGTCTGCACCTGTCTGTGTCTCTCCTGTCTGCACCTGTCTGTGTCTCTCCTGTCTGCACCTGTCTGTGCTCTCTGTCTGTCTGCCTGTCTGTGTCTCTCCTGTCTGCACCTGTCTGTGTCTCTCCTGTCTGCACCTGTCTGTGTCTCTCCTGTCTGCACCTGTCCTGTGTCTCTCTGTCTCTGTCTGTGTCTCCCCTGTCTGCACCTGTCTGTGTCTCTCTGTCTGCACCTGTCTGTGTCTCTCTTCTGTCTGCACCTGTCTGTGTCTTCTCTGTCTGTCCTGTCTGTGTCTCTCTGTCTGTCTGTCACTCCTGTCTGCACCTGTCTGTGTCTCTCTGTCTGCACCTGTCTGTGTCTCTCCTGTCTGCACCTGTCTGTGTCTCTCCTGTCTGCACTGTCTGTGTCTCTCCTGTCTGCACCTGTCTGTGTCTCTGTCTGCACCTGTCTGCACCTGTCTGCACCTGTCTGTGTCTCTGTCTGCACTGTCTGTGTCTCTCCTGTCTGCACCTGTCTGTGTCTCTCTGTCTGCACCTGTCTGTCTCCTGTCTGCACCTGTCTGTGTCTCTCCTGTCTGCACCTGTCTGTGTCTCTCCTGTCTGCACCTGTCTGTGTCTCTCCTGTCTGCACCTGTCTGTCACTCCTGTCTGCACCTGTCTGTGTCTCTTGTCTGTCTGTCTGCACCTGTCTGTGTCTCTCTGTCTGCACCTGTCTGTGTCTCTCCTGTCTGCACTGTCTGTCTGTCTGCACCTGTCTCCTGTCTGCTGTCTGTGTCTCTCCTGTCTGCACCTGTCTGTGTCTCTCCTGTCTGCACCTGTCTGTGTCTCTCCTGTCTGCACCTGTCTGTGTCTCTCCTGTCTGCACCTGTCTGTGTCTCTCCTGTCTGCACCTGTCTGTGTCTCTTCTGTCTGCACCTGTCTCTGTGTCTTTTCTGTCTGCACCTGTCTGTGTCTCTCCTGTCTGCACCTGTCTGTGTCTCTTCTGTCTGCACCTGTCTGTGTCTCTCCTGTCTGCACCTGTCTGTGTCTTTTCTGTCTGCACCTGTCTGTGTCTCTCCTGTCTGCACCTGTCTCTCTCTCTCTCCTCAGTGAGTCAATGTCAGCCCTGTCTCTGTGTCTGTCCTGTCATCCCCTGCCATTTTCTCCTCAGTCATCACCTGTCAGCACCTGTATCTGTCCTGTCAGCCCCTGTCTTTCTCTCGTCAGTCAGCACCTGTCATCACCTGTCAGCACCTGTATCTGTCCTGTCAGCCCCTGTCTTTCTCTCGTCAGTCATCAACTGTCTCTATGTCTCCTGCCGTTGTTATCCCCTGTCTCCTCAGTCAGCACCTGTCAGCACCTGTATATGTATCTCTCCTGTCAGCCCCTGTCTTTCTCTCCTCAGTCAGCACCTGTCTGCACACCTGTCTTTGTCTCCTCAGTCAGCACCTGTCTCTGTCTCCGCTGTCTGCACCCGTCTCTGCGTCTTTTTTGCACCTGTCTGTGTGTGTCCCCTGTCAGTCGTGGTCAGCCCGTGTCTCTGTGTCCTCAGTCAGCCCGTGTGAGCTGCACTGTCGGCCTCTCCACCAGCACTTCTCAGAAAAGATGAGGGACGCGGCCGCTGATGGAACTCCGTGCTACGAAGGTAGCAAAAGCCGAGATATGTGCATCAATGGCATCTGTAAGGTAGCATACTCTACCTGTGTTTCTCCTGTGGCCGCGTGTCATCATGTGTGCTCTGTGCTTCACCTAGTCCTAGTGTCATCTCCACTCATTAGACCAGCACCTCGGAAACATCACACCACACTTAAGAATACATGTACACTACTTATCAAAGGGTTGGACGCACTTTTTCATTGATTGTAGATTCTCACTTCACATCAGAACTCTAGATGAACTCATATGGAGTATAGGAAACAACAAATAAACTCTAAATAACTCAAAACTTGGTTCAGATTTTAGTTGCTTGAAAATAGCCATATATTTTTGAGTTATATAACTGTTTTTCTTTGCTACATACAGTAATTCTATAATAATGTATGTGTATAAAAAAGCAGTAAACATTGAATGAGACAATGTGTCCAAACCTTTGACTGGGAGTGTAGTTACTGTATTTTCCGGGCTATTAGATGCGATCTTAAGCCTCTAACCCCATCAAAAAAACGACTGCGCACCCCATAATCCAGAGCGCCCCATACAAGAATCCACTCGGGTGTCCCAGCACGACTTCAGTAAACTACAAAGCCACAACACCTGCAGAACACACAAACACACACGAAGCAGACAGCGACCGCACAGCGACAAACACCCACAGACACACTCATCACTCCACGCCGACGAGGAACGGAACGGAGGAACGAACCGAAAAAGCGAGTGCAATGTGCCACTTCTAGACACAACTGAACAACTGAGTCACTGTGAACGCCACAAACAAACAAAGTCCCACTCACCCATCCAACTGTTGTATTTCCTTTAAAGTCCCATGCAATTTGTGAAAAAGTTAAAAAATAGGCCATTCTATGACAGTGCGTCCTATAATCCAGAGCGCCTAATAGCCCAGAAAATATGGTAAACGATGCATATGGGACACTCATGTGGACCCCAGGAAAAACAGATCCACCCATATGTTGTTTTTTTTCATGGCTGTTGCCGATTGTTTAGAAACCAGAGCAACCTTTGACGGGTAATCTCTGCCAATACTTTTAGGCCGATATAAAAGGCAGATTTTGATCATTTCTAATTTATCCAAGACCTTATATAACTGTAAACTCACCAGGGAAGTGGTGTCACATTCTGAGCAGTGCCCTTCTCGAATTTAAGTGTTCAAGTAAAGTTAAAGTCTCTCCTTTAGTCGGGTGGTCAAACGAAACAATACATAATATTGGCCTACGTTGGAGATTCAAGCTGGTATGGTAAAAAGTGCAACTATATCAGTCTATGTCTACCAGCAAGTGATAATCAATGGGAATCCTGAGATTATAGAAATAATCATCTAAAATAAAAGAAGTACATTTTGCCCCCTTATCTCCTGTGACACACTTTTGTAACCCAGATACTTCCTGAAGACAGACAGCACCTTTAATCGTTTGTGAGCTCTGGCAGATGCAGATGCGCTGACCTCTGTGTACTGGTCCAGTCTGTGTGACATTCTGCCTGTAAAATGAGCACGAGATAGAGACTGTGCACAGGACTATCTGACAGATAACACGGCTCTTCTATCGCTCTGCGCGGGGGGCTCCTCTCTATCGCCCCGCGCTGGACAAATGCCACTCAGAGATACAGACTGGACACAAGCACAGGGGCTGAGATCATGACATTTGCTGACATTTTTACAAATTCAAGGAAAAGACATAACTGCAAATGTGACAATAGGTATTTACCTATTTGTTTAAACGGCTGAATTTGTTGAGAAAGTTGCTCAAAACAGAAAAGTAAAGGCTACATTAGGCTTATTCATGCATTTTCACCTATAGATAGTTTTTACTAATGCCAATAAATGCTTTATAATAACCAATAACAGCATATATAATAGCATCCAATAACAATAATAACAAGCATACAAATGTGCCTCTAAACTCTAATTTTAAAGTATTTTAAATAACAAAACCATGTTTTCCACTTTGTTTTAAACTTGTATGGATTTACAGGATCATTTCATGACTGATATACATAACAGAACCATAGAGGCTCAAACTGTTCAGACTTTTAACTGGCTTTTATCCAAATTTACTACAATTAATAAAGGGTCAGTTTGTATGAAATCAGCTGTTTTCAAGGAATCTCCCCTATGAGCCATCTCAGATTTGGCTGAAAAAAATTCAAGAAATTTCTAAAAATCACCAAATGAAAGAATCTTAAATTTTAGCTTAATCCCTTGAGTCCTTCCTGAGTTATGACCTGTTGAAATTTTGGGGCCATGTTCAGTTTTTCAGAAGCCTTAATTTATAATCATGTTTGAGAGACCAGAACTTCATCAAAACTAGAGCTAGATTCTAAGTCTGTTGTCAAATATTCAGTATCTTTATTAAGGGGGGTGCGCTGTGGGCCCCCAAAATCTCTTTTTCTTTTTTTTCAAATTTTGAGGTCCAAGATCTATTTACTCCAAGCAGATATTTATAAACTAACTGAATATTTGAGAGAATGACCATTTCTGACAATCTCACACTTTTCTGAGCTTTCATGTGGATGGTGTAGAGCCCCAAATATGGTCCTCAAATAAGGGACTGAGCTAAAATTTGAGATTCTTTCATTTGGTCATTTTAGATTTTTTTAAATATTTTTTTTTTATTTCAGCCAAATCTGTGATGGCTCATAGGGGAGGGCGGCTGATTTCATAAAAATGTAAGATTTGTTAAAGAAGGGGTATTGCACTTACACATTTCACAGATGTAAGATATGGAGATCACCATGTGACCTTTTATTGTTTTGAAAAAGCTATAATACACCAAAAACAAAGTATTAACATGTTAAAGGTTAAATGTAAGGTTAACATGTTAAGTTTCATTTTCATTTTTACTTCCCTTGCATCTTCGCTAAAGAAACTACCACACATTACATCAGGTCGTTGTGTGCAGTTTTTTGTTATTTTTTGTATATTTATGAAGAATTGCCATGTGGGAGAATGGGTAGGCTGAGCATTGAATAGCTAACCTTAAGGAGGGTATGAATAGGGCCTGGGAGAGATCACTAGATTACTCAAACATGCACACATCTAATGACATGTTTCTGACATGGTCGAAAGCTCCTGAAAGTCCATCTTGCATAATCCCCCCTCTTTAAAACATTGACTCACATGTATAATCGTACTTTGTGCACACAGCGTTAGATTGTGTGTTGTTGTTGAGTGTTGTCGTACTCTGCTCCGGCTGACGGTGGCTCTGTGTGTCGTCTGTGTGTCGTCTGTGTGTCGTCTGTGTGTCGTCTGTGTGTCGTCTGTGTGTCGTGTGTCGTCTGTGTGTCGTCTGTGTGTCGTCTGTGTGTTGTCAGAGTATGGGCTGTGACCTGGTCATTGACTCCAGCGCTGAGGAGGATCGCTGCGGAGTGTGCAACGGAAACGGCTCCACCTGCGCCACCGTCATGAAGACTTTTGAGCAGAGCGAAGGACTTGGTGTGTGCAAACTCAGTAACAGAGCAGTTTACAAGTGGCTAGAAGTTACTTACATTTACTCAATTCCATTTACTTGAGTACTTTAATACTGTAAGGATGTTCGTTTCTGGTGTAAGCGTCAGAGAGGATCATCAGTCTGAAATGTACATTCAGAAGGATTTACTTAGTCTCTCCAGTGTTGGGGAGTAACAGATTACATGTAACAGCATTACATAATCAGAGTACAAATTATGAGTAACTGTATTCAGTTACAGTTACTGTTTCAATGAGTGGTAATTGGATTACAGTTACTTTGTTGAAATAAATGGATTACAGGGCGGTATTTTCCTGTTTTCACATTTTGAGCTAAACCAGGACTAAAACCAGGACTAAACCAGGACTAAACCTGGACTAAAACCAGGACTAAACCCGGACTAAACCAGGACTAAACCAGGACTAAACCCGGACTAAACCTGGACTAAAACCAGGACTAAACCAGGACTAAACCTGGACTAAAACCAGGATTAAACCCGGACTAAACCAGGACTAAACCAGGACTAAACCAGGACTAAACCCGGACTAAACCAGGACTAAACCAGGACTAAACCTGGACTAAAACCAGGACTAAACCAGGACTAAACCAGGACTAAACAATATGACACTAACAGTAGGTGGACAGACTTTAAAGCAGCAGTGATCTCATATAAAAATCATTTCTCTATCAATAATATTTTGAATACGGTTAAGTAAACTTTGGGCTTTTGATTGTCTTTTAGCATTTATCCTCGTCTTTGTTTCTCTACAGTAAACAAAAGTTTGTTCATGGAGACTTGGGCTCAACAGACAATTTGAAGAAAACAAACAAGAATTTTCAGGATGTGGTTGTTACATTCATGTAGTTTTAAAAAGCATGACAATATCAAGTAATCCAAAGTATTCAGATTACATTACTCACTTTAAGTAACTTCATGGATTATGTTACAAACTACATTTTGGGATATGTAATCTGTAATCTGTAGGGGAATACAATTTAAAAGTAACCATCCCAACACTGAGTCTGACGCAGGTAAAGCAACAGTGTAGCTACAGGCCTCCAGAAAGGACAGGGGGAGTGTGTTTTTAGAGTGTTTTATAGTGTGTATTAGTGTGTGTGAAGGAGGATCCTCTTCTGGTCAGCAGAGCGTTGTCCGCTCCCATGCAGCATCATGGGGTCAGGAGAATTTACCGTCCTGCCCTTGAGTTTGAGCAACAACGTATTCTGTGTGTGCAGCTTTGTGGTATTCACTGGTATTAACTTTAGCATTAGAACACAGAGATAAAAGTGTTAAGGGGTGTTCACACCAGAGCATCAGAGCATCGAGTTTATATGTAAAATCTACGAAGACGCGCCGCGGCGCGAATCTGGCGTCATGGCATGTCTTCAGCGTTTTGGTGTTGACGCTCTATACGCGCGTCCAAGGCATCAGGGTGAGAATTTGAAAATGCTGAACTCAACTTTTCAACTAATCAGGGACGAGTATCCAGAGACATAGTGATGTTATTATCAGGAAGAATGAGAAAGACCCGAGACCCGGAGCAAGAGCCACAAGCATTAGCAGACCATAAATATATATGCCACAATCATTGAGCGGCTCGTGAGGACTATACCAGAACTAGACCAGGACTAAACCAGGACTAGACCAGGACAAAACAATGACTAGACCAGGACTAGACCAGGACTAAACCAGGACAAAACAAGGACTAGACTGGGACTAGACTGGGACTAAACCGGGACTAGACTGGGACTAAAGAAGAACTAGACCGGGACTAAACCAGGACTAAACCAGGACTAGACTGGGACAAAACAAGGACTAGACTGGGACTAGACTGGGACTAAACCGGGACTAGACTGGGACTAAAGAAGAACTAGACCGGGACTAGACCGGGACTAAACCAGGACTAAACCAGGACTAGACCGGGATTAGACCGAGACTAGACCGGGACTAGATTGGGACTAAACCGTGACTAGACCAGGACAAAGCAATGACTAGACCAGGACTAGACCGGGACTAAACCAGAACTAGACTGGGACAAAACAAGGACTAGACCGGGACTAGTCCGGGACTTGACCGGGACTAAACCAGGACTAGACCGGGACTAGACCGGGACTTGACCGGGACTAAACCAGGACTAGACCGGGACTAAACCTGAACTGATCCAGTATCATTAGCGGAGTATAAATATATATACGCCACTGACCCGATCGCTAAACACTAAAGTCTCTCTCAGAAAAAGGAAAAGCGCGGGACCAGACACTTGTTTCCAGGGCAACAGACGCGCGTCAAGTATTTTTCTCCCTTTCGTTCACAGCATCAAAGACATGCGTTGGGGGCATCTAAACTCAAATGCAAAGGCGTTCAAATAGAGGCGTCTCGGGTGTTTTTTGACACTCTGGTGTGAATGCACATTTATAGTGAAGTGCATTGCAAATGTGGATAATTTATAATACTTTAGGAATCTTCATTAACTGTATTAGAGTCCCTTCTTGACTGCACCAGGGTACGTGGACATCGGCCTGATCCCAGAGGGCTCGTGGGACATCCGCATTGAGGAGGTGGCCGAGGCTGGGAACTTCCTGGCGCTGCGCAGTGACAGTCCAAACAAGTACTTTCTGAACGGAGCGTGGACCATCCAGTGGAACGGAGAGTACAAGGCAGCCGGGACCGTGTTCAAGTACGAGAGGAGCGGGCAGCTAGAGAACCTCACCTCCCCGGGGCCCACCACCGAACCTCTCTGGATACAGGTCTGTTCTGATTGGCTGCTAACTCACTGACAAGTTCTAAGACCAGTTAGAGTTTGATTTTATTGTGTCTTTCATGTGTGATTTTAATGCTGTTGTGTGTGTTGCAGCTTATCTTTCAGGAGTCTAATCCTGGAGTGCGTTATGAGTACACCATAAACCAGAACGCCTCGTCACACACAGAGCCTGGCTCCTCACGATTCTACTGGAAACACGGCTCCTGGAGCGAGTGCAGCGTCACCTGCGGGACAGGTAACAAACGCACAATAACATCCACACAATAACAACCACACAGTAACAACGAGCACATGCACAATGTAGTAGGGCAGTAACACATTCACATCCTTTTAATATTGCTTGTTTGTGCTGTTATTAACACACATTTGTATTTGTGTTTAAATTGAGCTCATTAGTGTGTACCTGAACTTAAACTCAATACATTTTTACAACTTTGCATATTCAAAGAAAAAATGGTGTAGGTGTAAGCAGATTGTGCCTAACTTGTAATACTGTCAGTATAAAGAGAAACAACGTAGGCTACATTAATGATTAAAGAACATCCAATACTCTCCTCTGACTTACTGAAGACAAGCAAGAAACAGCCTGTCATAAAAAAAAAAAACTAGGCTCAAATACAATTGTGCAGAGTGGAATGAACTGTAGAACGTAACAGAAGGACTAGAAAACATTCAATGAAAAATGGTATTTCTTTGCTGTGACTTTTAATACCTCAGAGGGGTCTTTTTGAATCTATTGTGAAATGACTGTGACTGGGAGTGATCACTTTTTTGTCTGTGAGAAAATGTGTTGACATAAGTAATGCTGGGTGTACACTGTGTGATATTTTCGGTCGTGTCACTCAACCCCAGCTTAAACTGTACGACCAAATCACAGGGTTTAAAAGTTCACAGCTCACGAATCATGTTCTCACACTATATGAAACGATGCTCAGATGCGACCTGCCTGCGCTCACTGTACTTCACATAATGACCCGAGTTGTTGTTCCGGATGTGGAAAACCATGAAGAAGAACACCACAGAATTAGAAAACCACAGATGTGCGGAGACACAATGTTGATCCAGGCAAAAAACAGACACACTGCCTTGGCAATTTGTGCCAATCTCTGCGCAGACAAGACCAAAAAGAAGAGACAACGAATATAGTCAAAGAAATGTCTGGGCAGACGTGGGCAGATGTGGATAAATGTGGGCAGACATGGGCAGTACGAGTTGTCAGTTCTTCAGAGGGAACTGGAGGTAAGGAGCATCAAGTTTTTCACCAAACTTGTGTTCTGTGTTGCTCGATTAGCTGCGCCTCCATGTCCTG